ATGACAACCAAATGGGACTCCCATCTAAACAACACCTCCCACCCTTCTGAGAGCTCGCGCAGTGACCTCTTCTCAGCCTAAGCCCCCTTTCTGCAAAGTGCTAGGAAGGGAGTTGAGCACTGTTCTGGTCTTGTTGTTGTTGAAAAGCAGCACCTGAATGACGCTATCTATGAAAGCTGTCATGGGCAGCTTTTATGAGTTTGTTGTTTATGTGCACAAAGCCCTGTCTTTAGATAAGATTTCTCCACATGAACAGGTGTTTGCACGGGGCGTTTTGTGCACATGTGTAAACTGCACATTACAGTTTCTTTTGTATGAATAATTTGCAGTTACTGGTAGTAATATATAGAGCCTTTGCCTCTTATTATGACAATTAAACTATGCTCTTGCTAGGAGTTGGCTTAGCTTTGCGTGATGACTATGAATTCAACTGTGGGGGGAAAAGAGCTTAAATAGGGTCATTTGTGGGACTTGGCACATATCCTTGGATAGAGCCAGTGTCCAGGATTTATACTGCTTCTTTTTCTTCTTCTTTTGGTTTCTCCCTTTAGGGATCACCACAGTGGATAATCTGCCTCCATCTAACCCCTGTCTGTCACACCAACTCTCTGCTATGTCCTTCTTCACTACATTCATGAATCTTCTCTGTGGTCTTCATCTTTGTCTCCTACCTGGCAGTTCCATATTCAACAGCCTTTTGCCCAATGTATCCACTATCCCCTCTCCACATGTCCAAACCATCTCAGCATTGCCTTATCCCGTTAATATTGTTCATTCACTTTAACACCTTCAGCTTGGCCTTCTGTCTTTTTGTCAGTACCCCTCTCTCCAAACCATACCAAATGTCTCACTGCTACCTTGTAAACCATCCCTTTCACCCTCACTCTGTGCATGTTTCCACCTGTCTCCGTCTCATTCATACACACGTATTCTATCCTTCTTCTACTGTATATCATTCCTCTTCTGTCAGAGCATACCTCCACCTCTCCAGACAATCTTCCACCTGTTCCCTGCCCTCACTACATATCACATGTATCGTCTGCATACATCATAGTCCTGCTTGACCTCGTCTGTCAGCCTGTTCATCACCAATTCAAACAAGAATGGGCTCAGAGCCAATTATTGATGTAATCTTACCTCGAATCCTATCACACAGTTTACCACTGTCTCACTCTCTTCACACATGTCCTGCACCCCCCTCACATGCTTCTCTGCCACTCCTGACTCCTTCGCACAATACCGCAGGGTTTATGCTATGCTAAGCTAATCAGGAGCTTCCTAAAGCAAATATCTAGTTTGGACACAGGTGAGGTGTTCATTGTATTGGCTAACATTTGGCAATGAAGTTAAGAAATCATCTCTGCGTTACTGGTGAGCCTTTAATTTAGAAATGTGGCTTAACTTGTCAGACTTAAAGTTCAACACCCTGGAATAAATTAATCACCAAAGTACACTTTTTTGGATGTTGCCCAAGAGAGTGTATTCTGTATCTCATCTGTGAGAGATGCTACAAGTTACCTTAAAAAAAAAGGACACCCTGTTCTCAGAAAACATCAAGATTTTTGAATACCTAAGGAGGAGGGATGTGATCTTATATTTGTTCGTGTGCCAAGTGGTCATTTACCATTTATTGTTCCCAGTAGCGTTTGCTCAATCTGATGTTTGCACTTGTGTTCCTAATGGTAATGTTATGACAGTAAAGTGTTGATAAGGACCCAATAACTCTGTAACTTGTATATCCTGCTAGACAGCAGGAAGGCTGCACTTTGTTATGATAGCATGTAGTTTGGACTTGTTTACCCATCTCATCGACGCCTGGCTGACTCATTGGACCTGGTTTTATTACTGTACGCATACGTGCTTTACATAATCGGGTGTTCTTTTCTCTCCTCAGCAAAGGGAACAAAGATCAACATTTCACTTGTGCCCTGTCGAAACACAAGCGCAAGTGGTTGGCTGTTACAGAGAGGTTCACGTGGTGGGTGTACGCCCTGCTGACTCGCACGTGTTACACTTACATCTTTACTGTTTAACACCTGTGTGTCGTCTGTATGACTAATCCTCGTTTTTTTTCTACACAGGTAAAACCCAGCCTGTTTCTGTCGTCATTAGTCACGGGGCTGCTTGTCTGTCACAAAGGGCTTGGAGAACAACAAGAAGAGGGATATATTATAGTGCAGTGTCCACACTATAGCACCTTCAGCTCTCAACCAGTCTTTATTCATTCATTCAAACCAATATTTTTTATAAAATATATACTGTATAAATTATATATCGTGACTTAGTCTCTCATTTTTCCGAAACCACAATTGAAATCTTGATTTTTTTCTTAGGAGTCAATAAAAAAAAACTTGACATTACCAGAAATACTGGTTTGGCGATATCTCGGAACTATAACAGCCTTAAGTGTTTTACTGCTTCTTCTGTTCTGATAAGAGGCTCTTTCCATTTCAGGGACGTTTACCAAGCAGTTGGACTGCCCTTCGAAACTCACAGCTGGATTAAAGGAAAGAAAGGCAAAAGGTCTTAGTTAATAAATGACTGAGGTTTATGAGTAGCCAGCATTTTAATGATAAGCAACATAAGAGTGACTATTTTAACCAGACCCCCAGTTTAAGAACCACGTGGAATTTGATACTTTTGTAAGTTTTTCAAAGTCTTCAGAGGGCGGGGTCTTGCCTTGACATAACAGCCGAGCCAGAATGTTACAGTGTTCAGGCTGCACTGTGCTCGAAGAGGATATCTCCCATTGCAAACAAAAGTGAAGAGGCCAATCAAATTGCTGTTCCTGCCTGAGAACATTATCTCAGTGCCAGACAGTGTGCTGTTTGGACACAGTGCACTGGGGGTTGGTGCTGGGATTTGGGAACGTACAAAAGGTCTCTTGAATCATCACATTGCAGCAGCCACAGACAGAGATACTCCACTGTTCCCCTCTGAGTGAGATTGTGAAAGATATGATCACTTCCACAGCTGCTTGTCACCTTTGGAGGGGTTCCGTTGTTTGAGCTGCAGCTGATTTCCTCGCTGTCTCTTTTGGCTTTCGAGCACTTGACACCCAAATGGGTGTTGATAAACACATGCAGTTTCTACGCAGCTCTGGGAAATAACCCTGTGAAAGAGGAACTATCCCCTTTTGCTGCGCTCTCATTAGAAAAGATCGCCAAAGCACTACATGAAACACAAGAACACCACGTTTTTGTGGTGAAAGAATATGTAAAATAATACAGCCAGATGGCCTTCTGAATGCCACATTGCCGCGAACACTGGGAACTTTCTAGTGTGGGCTTTTGTGCACAATGCTGAAAGTGTGCATTCATTCTCACAGGAGAGCATCAGCTGCTGCAGGAAAGCAGGTCTAATCCTGTACTGGTGGAGTGCAACTTTACTCCTTTTCTTAAAAGAAAAAGAAGTTTTGTGTCCTTTGTCTGTTGCTCTTAAAGCATGCCACATAATATCCGACACATATTCTGGTACATTCAAAATCTGAGCTAAACAGATCCTTGAAACTTTTTTGATGAAACACTGGAGTTCATGTGGGTCCACAGGAGGTTAACAGGGACATTCAAGTGTGTCCTTGTGCTTATAATCAATAGCATTAGCTGGTTTGTTTTCTGCCAGGACTTTGTAGCTAGTGACATGATAGTTTCCAGCATGCCTGGATTTGATAACTGTTTATGGATTTATTTCCAGGTGTCTGGAAAAATGATCAGATTGATCCAGCTGTAAAGCTAACACCATTAAAATGTCCAACACTGACAAAAACTTTGTATCTTGACTCCCTTTTTTCCCACCATAATGGTGTCACTTGTCTCTTACTGGAGAATAAACCAAAGAAGACAGTGCCTGTGGGAGCTGGCTGGATTACAGTTGGCAGAGACTGAGAGTTGCTCAGAGAAAGGTTTTGAGGTAAATTGCTAGTTTGCTGAGAGAAACCACCATCTTCCAAAAAAAACAACAAAACAACAACAAAAAACACAAGCTGTTCATTAAAAGAAATACTGCACTATAAAATAGATTATAATCATAAAGCCTGTCAACTGCTGAAAGTCATTTTTGAGTCAACAAGTCAAGTCTGATGAAACTTTTGTTATCAAACCTGCAAGACTGAGAGGAGAATAGGACAGACGTTATCAGCAGGGTCGAGCAGGATGTAAACAACTTACTGCTAGTGTTGTTGTGCCACTCTTCTGTCTTTGAATGAAAGTTTAAAAAGCAGTTTTGAAAACAACTTATTTTCTCTGTCTAACATCAGCTGGTTAAACCAGTACTTTCTTCGCTGAACTCTCTGCCGATGCACTGTGCTGCTGGCCAGAGGCCCACTAGAGATAGTCATAAGAAGGGGAGTAAATAATATTAAAAACTCTTGCTGAATCTTGTTGCTTCGATTTGAGACTTTGTTCACATGACTTTTGCGCTTTTAGTTGATTGTTTTCGTTTTTGAGTTCAGATAATGTGTAACGGAGGAAATCGGTGCAATCACATTTTCAAATAGTCACCTCATCAGTTTTCTTCATGACAAAAATTGCACATTCAGAGCATAAAGGGGAAATTGCTCAAATGCTGTATTTCAACAGTTAGTTCTCATCAAATAAAGCTGCTTGTATTTGTGCCTTTGCAGAAAATCAGTTAAAAATGAATTAGCTAATAAGTAGGTCTTTTCCGTCTTACATCACTGAGAGGGAAGTATATTGGGGGTTTGGACTCTGGGTGCTCAACAACTAATTTCAAGTCCAGTTTGGAGAAGGGGAAATGTTAAAAAAAAAAAAAACAACAATAAATTAAATTTTAAACATTTACTTGCAAACCAACAGTATTCGGTAGATTTTTGACAAATATTGCAACAAGTGTCAGTCCTTCTGCATACAGGATGACTGACCCTGATGTACTGCACATCAAATCAATCTGTACAGCAGTGTCCCCAAAAATATACACAATATCCCAAAACAAGTGCCATGGATAGATTTTATTTGTGAATAAACTTCACAGAGAACCCAGGCAACAGGAAAAAAGACCTTTAATAATAGTTTATCTCAGGAAGTCCTGGCAGGTAGGTTGTTCCAGCAGCTGGAATTCTTCTTCTTCTTTACACTCAGGGTTTCTGGGTGTCATCTTCTGTGAATATAAGGGCTCTGTGAGCAGGGGAACTTTTTTAAT